GTTAAAACAATATTTTTTTTTACAATTAAAATTATAGTTTCTATCCAAAAACAAGCATTCGGCCAGCCGACAAGAAAGCAGATTTTTCGGTGCACAGAACTGAAAGATTCCTTTCGGTCTCACACACTCGGCAAAAAGACACTGAAGGCGCAGAAACTGACTTAATTTATTGTGAACGCTATACTGGATCAATCTATGAGATAATTTAATAACTTAAATGATAATTCCAAAATGGATTAAACATGATTTAATTCGCAATAATGCAAGATGACGTTACTTTGTTGTTGTGAACCTTAGTTTCTCTGAATTAGCAACAAATCGACTATTCTGCTAAGTTTTAAATGTAAACAAATATGGCTGCTGTAGTAAAAAACTTAGGCTTAGACACACTTAAACAACCTTTAATTTATTAATAACTGTACAACTATAGCATGCAGGTTAACTAAAGGCATAAATACCTTAACAGAAAGATAAGAGCAACATAATTCATTCATTTTTAAGGCAAAAACATGCACAATTTACAAACATATAAGAATAAAGAAACTGAGCTCACGGAGCTGAGTAACAGAGTGAATACATGCATACATATATTTATATACTTTTGGCATTTTTGCCAATTGCAACCAAAAAGGGAGGTGTCCATCTACATGTTGTAGTAGTCCCACATACAAAATTTCAACGTTCGTTCTGAGACGTACGTGTATATTTACGTACATACGTACGTACAGACGCCACAAAAAAATCTCTTCTGAATCCATTTTAAATCAGTTTTATAATTCGTTTGGAGAAAAGAGTCGTTTATTCTGTCGTTACGTACAGATGTCACGAAAAAACATCGATAAATTGCATTCGATAGCGGTCAAAATGGATAATTTCGTTGAAATATGATACCCGAAATTTTTCGCGATTACAATACTTCCTTTTTACTTCGTACAAAGAAGTAACAGCGGAATTAACTTACATATAATTCCTTAATTAAATAAGATAGTAATTTAAAACTGGTTAATCAAAATTAAATAATTCTTAATGTAGTAGGCTTAAACCGCCTTGAAATATCTCACAGAAGCACTCTTTAAGTAAAAACTCACTGTACACTAGTGAACAAAATTAAAGAAGCCGGTGATTTAATGAGGGCCGACCAAAAGCTGGTAAATATGCAGCATAATACAAAAATATATTTTTGAAGAAAATAAAGAATCTAGATGGTGAATATCAGATTTTAATGCACATAAAGATAAGGAAACTCGCTTGGCATCAAAGAAATTAGAACTATCATTGTCTTTCAGAGATGAAAAAAAAAATGGTATTGGTGAATTTAGCCAAGTAACCTGTTTAGCATATGACAACTTGGAAGTTCAAGGCGGTTTCATACTTGCCAGGCATTGATGTAATGAGGTGGTTGCTGAGATGTTTTGGGGGGGGATTCCTCCTCACTTTTCAAAAAGGGCATTTTGCAACTGAAGGTGTATCAAAGTAGATATGGTCTAACAGATCTGCCTTTGCCTAACGTCTTTCACGCATGCTTCAAGACAACTTCATACCTGCGAGGTATTGATTTAATGAGGAGGTTGCTGAAGTGTTTTGGGGACATTCCTCCCCACTTTTCAAGAATGGCATTTTGCAACTGAAGGTACAGCAAAGTAGTTATGATCGAACAGATCTGCGTTTGCCTAACGTTTCTCAAGAGTGCTTTGTCTCATTCATCTCCGAGAAGTATGCCGGCCACTCCATACGCTGTATTCATTTCTTCTTCAAGCATCTGGTGCACAAGGTGTGCTTGAAGAAATCCAACATTCTCAAGCACAGATAAGATTGGCAGCAATAGAATGATAGCCTATTGTCTAAGAATTTTGTCCCTTTATTTCTGAGCAGCCAATGATCTATCTCGAATGATGTACAGATCAACACGACCATCTAAGCTTATCTCTGCCCAAACAAGAACACTGTCTCCTGCAAAAATCTACATCGAGTGCCCCATTCTTTCCTGATCCGAAGTCATTAGCTTTCGGTTGTAAGCTAATCTGTACTCATTGTAGAAAAGAACTTGCCTGTTCTCAGCAGGTACTCTATCGATTTTGCTTCATCCTAGCTTCTTTGATCTCTGCCGTTCTGGGAGGACACTGAGACACAAACAACTGGCTTGCGTGCATACAGTCAACCTGCAAGAACGCTTTTGCAGATTTCTTGTCTCAATACTCTTCTTCAGGTTGCCATTAAAATTTCCTTTGCAGCTCGGTGTCATTTTTGACGCAATTTTCCAACGATTCTTATTTGAAAACTAATCTTTCAGTAATAATGGTCATTTCTTCAATTGGTTCATTTCTGACAACCTTATTCGAACGAAAATTTGTTGACTTCGTCAACAGGACCCACTAGTCTTTCGTTAAAGCAAGTAAAGTAACAAAATCTATATATATAAAGAAGAAAGTCTGCGTTTGTACTCTAATAACACTGTCACTACTATAGCTATCGTCGCCAAACTTTTTACGATTCTTTTCTGAGTCCTGGAAAGGGTCGACGTGCACGTTTTTCCAAAACAAATGGCTAAAATCAGAGATATTGATTAAAAAACTCGCAAAAACGATAATTTTTCCCTCATTTTCCCCAGTGGCAAGAGTCTCATAAGCTGGGAGATGAAAAGCTGCTTTATTTCGAAAGTTGTTGCCACTGCTCGCTTTCAAATCCTAGAGTTTGTTAATAAAAAATTTCTAAGTTTTACGATGAAATGAAAATAGCGTTGCCAAACATTAAATACATTATTCCCGATTCCAAAAATTCGTGGGAAGTCATTTCGACTATTCCAGTTTCTGTACGACTTTAGTCAGCCGAAATATTAATTAAAAACGCTGAAAGCACTAATTTTCGCACTCATTTTTCCGAGTGGCAACAGTATCGCGTGTTGGAGATAAAAAGGCTTTATTTCGAAACATATTGCTACTGCTCGCTTTCAAATCGCAGAATCTGTTAATAAAAAATGTGTAAGTGTTACAAAATCATTACATATAAAGAAGAATGTCTGTTTGTTCGCTTTATTGATTTCTGTTCAACTATGATAAATGTTTGGCACATTTAATCCACTAAAACTGAATGTAGGTGGAATATTGGATGGAACTTGAGCTTTTATGAGCATTTAATTAAAACGACGAAAATTATTAAAAACCGCGTGCCTTTTTTGCTGTTATAATGAGAGAGAATTAGTTTATTTTTCTTTCGAAATTTTTTATCTGGGTTCCTAAATCGCATCAGACAGAAAAATGTATGACTATGAATCGTATTTTTTTCATAGCTAATTACAGAAGGATTACAGCGGTATCGTTCTCTTCTTTTCTAGGACTTTGTTACTTATTTATCTATGGCATTACTCTCTCATTTAACTGGCATTGGGTACTTCCCCTAGCTATAAGGAAGAAAACCTGATACCCCAGATGGAACTTGGTTTGTTGGTTTAATCTTCTCTTGCTGTTGCTTTACAAAGGCAGACAGGACTTGTCATATGTCGTTTTTACTTGCTCTTAAATATTTGTTAATTCCTTCATATATGATGATTAATTATTTATGCTTACCAGACGTAATTTTCAGTAATATATTTCATAATTTGTTGAAGTTTAAACATATGCTTTGTATCGTAGAAAAAAAGGTTTCGCTAGAATGTTTGTTGCAAACATTGGTAGATGCTCTACTGTAATATTTGAAAGTAGTGGGCATTACCAAATATGATGCTTGTTATCTTCTAAATGTACTAGTGTTCCTCGTCTAAGGTTTACATTTCTTATTAAGAATCGCTGGAAATAAGATAGAAATTTCCATGATTTGTTGTTAATTGTTCTAGCATAATTATCTCTTTAATAATACTTATGGGAAGCACCCATCTCTCTACAGGAGAAAGTTGAAGATAGGCTAGCACCTCTGAAGTACCGTAGATGACTGATATGCTGCTGAAGTTAGCTAACTCTTAAGATTCTTTCCTGGGTGAAATTCCGAGGAAGAACCCCTCGGGGGCTGTCCATCACCAACACCTTTTTCCCAACCACCAACTTCTAGAGAAAATTTCGGCTCACCATGTATTTTGAATATCGCATACGCTTATTAACATCCATGGCTTCGAAATTCGAACCCTTAGGTAAGGCATTCGGCAACACTTGTCACTATCTTGTCTGATCATAGAGTTCTTTCTGCAGCTGATTCTTCATCATTACTAGACATCTCTTGAATGCTCGATAACATTTTATCAGCTGCTTTGAATAAAAGCGTTTATCAAGGGTACTCCTCTGACTTACGCATCGTACGCTCGCTCCCAATAAACTGCAACAGTAAACACTCTTATATATATTTAAAAAAAATGAAATGTTTTAGATTTTAAATTACGTCCAAAGAGGCGTCATTATAACGTTTTGTGTGTTACCTATATTTATTAAATATCATGCTCCTTGCACTTAAACCATTAAATTCAGTTCAATAGCAATGTCGCAAAATAATTTTAAAATGAGCATATCCTTAGAATTTCCGGTACACAGTCCGCGCACTGGAGAAAAAAGGTTTCCCCTCCCGTAGAGTGCTACAATTGCTGGCTTTGAAATTGTTGAGTTTGTTAATCAAAAATTCGTTAAAGTTTTACAAAATATGAAATTGATAATGAAACAAATTCCAAATTTCAAATTTGGTGTTCCACATGCCCAGATTCGTAGGAGGATGACGTCATTCAAAATTCGATGTCTCTATGTCCCGTTGTTTTATCACAATGTGAGAAATATGCATACATTTATGCAGATTTTTCATTATTTAATTTCTTCAAATATAATGCAGGACCCTAACATTTGGTGGCAACATTTTGAAAAGTGAATCGGACATTTATAGTGATTCAAATCAAAATCGCAAAATGAAAACAATACTCCTTCAGGGACAAAGCCCCTTTAAACTAATTATTAGCAAAATATTATAGCATATTTATTTGAATGTTAATAAAGCTTCCTTTAAAACCGAGCATTCATTAAATCTTTTAACATTTTTTAGCAAATTTTAGCTTAATGAATACAACATTTCATTCTTAATTAACTGAAAATTTATCGTAGCATTTTTTAAAATGATACAATCGAGATTTTTACAATAAACAGCAATAATTTATGTGCTTTTTAATCAGCAAATTTAAACATGAAATAAATGAAGTTAACGAAAATGGATAATTTAAAAATCTAATCTCAAAAGTATCATCTGATCTTTTCCCACTCAAATGAAGTTCGATTTCTCAAAAGTTTCAAGATGCGTTTGTTATCGAAACAACAAATGTGCGAATGACGCAGTCGCTTATAAATAGGATCTTTCACTTCCTCCCATTCTTCGAGATCCTTCTTCCACACAAAAGATTTGGGTTTCTTAACTTCAATCGCTCCTAGAAGAGAAATAGCTGAGATACAAAATCTAGTAGAATAAGGAATTAAATATAAGAATTCTGTTTAGATTTAATTTAATTACTAAAGTTACAGAAATCATTGTAAGTTAGTAGCCAAACATTTATTTCAGAATCATGAATAATACAGTGTGTAGAATGAAGTGCTTTCTCGTCAGATATTGCACAATGAAATTCTGCGAACAGAAATGTAGTTAACAGAGTCTCCAGAGTTACAACAGAGTCTAGAAAAGGGTTAAAATATCTTTTTATTCATTCAAATAATAATAGATGGCCCCTTCTCGGACTTACAGGAAAGCCTCCACTCGAGTTTTTGAATCACGGTAAGAAACTAATCTAATACTAAACTGGCAACAGTATTCTTAATCCCCTCGCACACCCCCAAGAACACTGAGGCTTTATTAAAAAGGTTATATGATTTTTCCCCTAATTGATTATAAAAATGCAAATTTAAAGAATAATTAAATAAAAATATCTACAATTTTGCAATAAACCCTTTGTACAGTTAATTTTTTAAAGTGTTTTTCCTTGCTCGGAGTAACATTTGCTTTAATTAATTTGAATTAGTTAATCCGTAGTATAAAAACTGCTAGAAGTATTCAAGAAAAAATTGGTGGCTGTTTCCGAATTAACTAATTATTTTGAATTATAGTGTTCTAGTTAAATTGATCGTTCTTGGCAACTAGAACTAGAGAAGAGTATGGCGACCATTCCCTGATCTTCTTAAAACTGCAAAAACAATGTACAAAGAAGTATTATAATACCCTTTTATTTAACTCAAAGAACAATCACAGTCAGGCCCTTCTCGGGCTTACAGCAAAGCCTCCACTTGAGATAGAAAATACGCAACCAGATTAATTCTAACTAACTAAAATTTAGCCGAAGTTGCACAGAAACAAATAATTGATCTTGATCTAGCCTTTAATGAAACCTCACCGGCGATTACTAACAGGCACAAAAGAATACGGCCGAACGTAGTAACATTGGCTTAAAGCAACAACATGGCCAGAAGACAGAACACTCTTTAACTCTTTCCACTCCTTAATGTTTTTTTTCCTTATTAATCAACAACTCTTTAATTCATGTACCAAACAGATAAAAAAAAGGTCTCAATAAAAGGTTGTATTGCAGAGTGTGTAACTCTTATTTTTTCGATTATAGTAAGTAGCAGAATAGTAAATAAATATAAATTTATATATTTAACCAATTTATTTACCCTTTTTTTTATTTATTTACCAATTTATTTACCTTTTTCTTATAATAATAATTATTTATAATTTTTCAAAGTATGATATTTTTTAAAACATTCTCCTGAATAATTACCAAGTTTCCTATCACAAGTATCACAATAGAATGTTTTCTTTTGTCCCTCCTTTGACCTTCCGGTTGGAACACACCATACACTCCTTGTGTTTTTTATGAGAAAAAATAAAATGAGTGTTTCCATCTAAACGTTAGATAGTATCATCTGGGGATAATCAGCCCGGTTTTTTGTGTAGGAACAAGAAAGTCTTTGAATAGAAACATCAATAAATTTTCTCTATAATCTAATATGATAGTCGGTTTGTTTATTTCTTTTTCTCTACAATTGTCAGTCGTCTTTCATCTTTTCCCGCAGGTTGAGAAACAGAAGATTGTTTTATACTAAACATTGTGACCACTCTTTTGTCACAACACGCTGCGAACGTTTTTCCTTTTCTATAAGCGATTTATGTCCAACAATTAAATTTTTTATGTATTTTTTTTCTACTGCAACAATACTGAAACAATTATGACCAATCCTTTTCAATTGGTCATAATTGTTCCAGTAAGAACGCAATTGGATTTTAAAAGTTCGACAACTAGAGTGGGGTTCGTATAAAACCTATCAGTAAAAATATGATACGCTTTAGCTTCAGGAATCGAATATCGTAAATTTCGATAGAGTTGCATCACAATTCTGCTAGTGAGATTAACATCTGGTCTAATTAAGCCATCTGTTGTAATTTTACCATAATATGGAACAAATGTATATAAATAACTTGTCTTAGAAGCTGCTGAAACATAAACTTGAAGTCCTCATTTTGTTGGTTGTTTAGGGTTTGACATGAGAAAGATTATTTTTCCCTTGAACGAGATTGTAGATTCGTCAACTGCCAAATTTTCAAGGGATATATAATTTTCCATAAAATTTTGGTTTAGGTAATCCAGAAAGTTGCTCACTCTTTCTATCCTTGCCCTCGTCTTTTGAGTGTTTGGTGAAATTATTTCCAAATTTAGTGACCAAAATATTTGGAGAAAACGTTTGTGTGAAAAAAATGTTTCTAAAAATGATATTTTCAAATGAAATGCTTGAGACCAGTATGATTCTAAAGCTGGTGAAACAACAAGAGCCATATTTATGATGACACTAAAAAAGTCTCCAATTTCACTCTCAGTTACATCTTTCTAATTTTACCAAATGGAGTATTTACTCTGAGTTTTTTCTTATATTATTTTTGCAGCGTATGCATTAGTTTCACTCACTACTTTTTAGTAGAGTAGGAGCCAAAAAACAACTCAAAAAATTCGAAACAAGCTGATGTGCAGCCGGATGGAACTTGGGGTCCAACAATATTTTCACCAACTCAGAATTTTATGTTATGATGATAATTGTCTTCTTCAGTGACATTTGTCCATAGTGTTTCAGTATTTTCCAACAAACTGCCTATTATATGTACAAGTAGATGGTTGCTCATTACTATCCTCATTTATCGTTTATAAGTCTTCTTCTTCTTACAATAATTTCTTCGTCAGAATCGGTCTCGGTTCGAAAAGGAACCGAAAACAATATCTCAGACAATTTGGAAAATTTATATCCTCTTTCAATAATTCAAGTTCATTATCTATTTGAGTCATACATTCGTCACCACTTCTTTCATATTCACTGGTGAATGATTGTTTCCTCTTGATTCAAGACCTATATTTTTATACTTATTAGCACATAAAATAAATAAATATTCAATTATTATTATTTTAGTTAAAACATACGTTTTTATGTAAACAAAATATCAAAGACGATAAAAAACACGATTTTTCTCTAAAGCGTCGGGAACTTGCTTTCCTGAAGACAGCACTACTGTGACAAGGTCATGTTTCTTATCTTGCCCTTCAAGGATATAGTTCGTTCCCAGACAAAGGGACTCTTGCAAGGGGCTTGATATGCGGTTTGGAGACTGCAACTGTACCTGTTTCTTTCCCGAGGGGATATTCTCGCTATGGATATGGTGAAGGGAGGTTGTTTCAAGAGTGTAGCCGAATAGCTCAGTGAGAGTGTACGGAAGTTCGAAATTATCGTCTGCACGTTCAACGAGCCGACATTTCCAAGCTAGAATAATGCTACCGTATGTCCACCGGGAATAATGGAGGTAGCATTGTTCTGTTTGGAGTATTTTGCTGTGCTAGGAGATTAAGCTCGGACTAATCTTTCCGAATATGCTGTAGTTTTAGGACAATACGTAACCGTTTAGAAGTACTATTGGATTAAGCGTTATTCACATACCAGATTGATATAATCTTATCTTCTTATATATTTTTATATATCTTTATATTTTTATTGAAATTGTTTTATAACTGTATTGCTATTGTTTTATAACTTGAGTTTGGAGTTATTTCAACCCTGAAATACAGCAGATGCTTTGGATAGCATGTTCGAACACTACATCGCACTACAAATGACTCTTTTGATTCTAATGTAAAATTAATACTAAAAGGAATTTAAAATAATATAAATTGGTCAAATATGATAAATTAAGTCTTTATTTACATAGTACAAAAAATTTTAAAGGAAAAAAAAAAAACAGTTTTAAACATTTTCAATTATTTTAGAAATTACCATGTATAATGTCGAGTCTAGCTCAACAAAGGAGTTGTAAGAATACAAAGGAGTTGTAAGAATACAAAGGAGTTGTTGTAAGAAACATGATGTCGAGCGACACTCGACATATGTTAAAATAATACTAAAAAGAATTTTAAATTATCTAACCTGGTCAAGCATAATAAATTTAATCTATTTACATATTACAAAATATCTGAAATAAAAAAAATATATTTAAACATTTAAAATTATTTTAGAAAATAAAATGTATAATGTCGAGTCTAGCTCGACAAAGAAGTTGGTGTAAGAAATACGATGTCGAGCCACATTCGACATAAATCCTAAGAGTTAATGAAAACTTCTGAGCTCTTCTACGGAAGTTTCCTCGAGATTCATTAGAGACAGATTTCTCATTCAAATCAGTTCTCACTTCGCGGCATGGCAAAAATACATAAAACCTTAAACTATCTTCGTTAAAAATTGAAAAATACATAAAAGCATAAAAAACTGACTGAATTCACTATTCTGGTAAGTTTCAAACGTAAACAAATATGGCTACTATGGTATACGAAATTAAGCTTAGCCGCACTTAAACAACTTTTAAATTTATGATAATTCTACAACTATTGCATGCAGAATACCCAAAGGCATATAAACCTTAGCCGGAAGATAAGAACACCATAATTCAAAAACTTTTAATGCAAAATATGCACAGTTTACGAACATACAAGAATAAAAATAACTGAGCTCACCCCAGCCGAGTAACAGAGTGGGTATATACATACTTTTGATGCCCCGACTGGCAACCAAAAAGGTAGGTTATAGCAGTATTACATACAAAACATGTTATAGCAGTCCTATATACAAAATTTCAACGTTGGGGGGTACTCGTTTTGGGGTTATGCGAGATACATACGTACAGACGTCACAAAAAACTATCTTCTGAATCTATTTTAATCAAGTTGATAATCCATTTGTGGAAAAAACAGTCCTTTATTCTGTCCTTACGTACAGATATCACACAAAAGAATCGTTAAATTACATTCGATAGCGGTTAAAATGGATATTTTCGTTGAAATATGATACCCGGAGTTTTTTGCGATTACAATACCTCCTTTACTTTGTACAAGAAAGTAAAAAAGCATTC